TGGGTTTCATTGGGTCGGGTCTGATAACGGGTAAAGGGGATGGAACGAGGGCTGTTAGATCAGTCCGACTTGAACGGCTGAGATTAGACGGCCTTATACGGCGTCGTTTGGGTAAAAGATTGGTCTGATCTGGGCCGTTCCCCTGAATCAATCAACGGCTCAAAAGGATGACGCCCATACGGCGTCGTTTGGGGCATCTCGCAGAAAGCCTGGTTGGACTGGGTCATTTGTATGAGTTTGGGCCTGATTTCATTTGAAATTATGGCCCAAATCCAATGTTTTCCTTCTTACAACTTAAAAAATAAAATTCCTAATAAAATCATACCAATATTAATTAATACTCAAAACAACAATTATCACTTACATTGACATTTAATTAAAATCACTTAATGACAAAAAAAAAATAGAATAAAAGACGCATATTTTTTACGATTTTCCTTTAAAAACCAATTACGGTTCAACTACACACGACACATTTTTGTATTTTGTTTTCAATAAAAGATGGGCAAAAATCACAAACAATTAACAAAGTACCGCGTAAAAATCCAAAATTGTATAGCAAGACCATTTGCTATTATTTTTATTTCTTTTGGAGTGATTGTCGCGTAAACAAAAATCACGTGCTCACAGTGTTATCTCTACATATTCAAGAATAATTATTACTTATTAAGGGTAAAAAGGAAAAACTATTTTAAACTTCTAAAATGACAAATAATTTGAGACAATTATCTTTAGTAACCACTACTTCTGTTAATATTAGTGGGAGTACTATTTTTTTATGAGATTTTTTCATACCTATATACTATTGAAAACTTTATTACCCTAAATGTTAATGTCAAAATTTGTATCCTACTTCTTTTAATATATCGACGGTAGAGCCAATAAATTCACAAATGACTTTTACGCATTGTAAACGATATTTTTTTTTATTACATGAATGATAAAAAAAAAATTAAAGAGGATCGCCGGCCAAATATATATATTCCACCTTAAAAGGCTCCCAATCCATTATTAGTGTCTTCGATTAAGAGATTTAATTACGCCCTTTACCTTTTTTTTTTCTCTTCTTCACTAGATCACCAAAAATACTAACAACTGCATCACTAAATTCAGACAATAAGGTCATTCCCATCCCTTGCATAGACATGATGAGGTTTTTCTTCGATAACGAAAACCAGATCGACAGGAATAATACCAGGTTCCTGATTTCCCTTTTAGGAAAAGTTACCTTGGTCCCCTTCTTCCACTCAGGCTTTATGTCGATGGTCAATATCTCCGCAGCTTCCTGCAATAGAAGAACAATATACATATCACAACAAAGTAACTAACACTGATGAACATCCTATGAAATTACAGAATGTATCATCAAAAATTCATCACATAACGTCTCTATTAGATCCAAAAAAATACAATATCCATGAAACTACAAATATAACGACAAGATTCATACACACATCTCATGTCCAAAAGCAGAGGATGGTGAATCACAGAACTTATGTTCCAACAGGGGAAGTTCATTTCTCTATGGAGTGACATCATTACTCTACATAGTACACACGAAGAATTTTTATATAGCTACAATATCATACAATTTAAATATAAATTTTATACAAAAATTATACAATATGTCTTTTGTATATTTTGTATCTGATTTATATATAGTAAAAACAAATTTCATACAACTAATTATATATTATACAACTTATCTACAACTTTCACACATTATTTCTACCCAGTTAAATACAACTACAATAACATACAACTTAAATACAAATTTTATACAAAAATTATACAAAAATTATACAATATGTCTTTTGTATATTTTGTATCTGATTTATATATAGTAAAAACAAATTTCATACAACTAATTATATATTATACAACTTATCTACAATTTTCATACATTATTTCTACTCAGTTATATACAACTATAATATCATACAACTTAAATATAATTTTTAGACAATAATGTTCAACTTTCATACAATAATTAAATAATGAAAGAAAAATATATAAACAACAGAATACAGTTTTTCTACAAATTTTTCTACAATTTTGCTACAATTTCGTAAATATAATGTATATTATGTCTTTTTTTTTTCGAGTTTCAATATGAAATTCATGCAAAATAAAGTCTAATCTTCACCAAAACCTCTCAAAGTTGAGATATAAACTCCAAACCATATTCCCAATTGTTTGCAACAACACCCAATCCAAACAAATAATGATTTTTGAAAACCCAAATTCGAATTCAAAGCTTCAAAGCTTTTTAATTGCTGTCAATGGTGGAATTGTTGCTCTCTTATTAGGGGATTGAGAGATTGAGAGAGACGTAGAGAGAATTCCCAATTCTTTGCAATAACATCTAATTCAAACAAATAATATTTTTTGAAAATCCAAATTCGAATTCAAAGTTTCAAAACTTTTTAATGGTTGTCAATAGTTGAATCATGGGTGAGTGCAAGATACGTGGGAGGGGGGGTGAGATGTGGAGAGAGAAACGTGTGGAAGATATGTTAGAGTAATTTTGAGATACTAATTATTATCATTAATTCCCTTAAAATGTACATAAATGGTGATTGGATATATAAAATGTAATTATAGTAAAACTTGAGGGTAATATAGTTTCGTAAGAATGTAAAAATTCCATTATCTCAAATTTCTGGTCCAACAATTTACAAACCTCCTCCAATTAGATCTTCTAAATACGTGTATCTGAACAACTGCCGCAGTAAGATGATGATTTGGCATCACACGATTGGCCACTTGTTGAAGAAAGCACGTAGCAGATCGGACTTTTTTCAGTTGGACTGTGCAGATCTTGGCAGCTTATGTCTTTGTATCAGATCTCCACTCAAAATGCTATAAATTCCAAAACCCCCTATCATCAAAGTTGTGAAAGCAGTTCAGATCTGTCCGAGAAGGAACGGTTTAGTGAGGTAAGCCAATGCTGTTCTTCTTCATACATTGAACCTTATTAGTCTTAACTGTACCATCCTCATTTTGGAATGCCATGTGTATATTGATGGCCTCTCTTGCACGTCTCTTCTTCTTTTTCTTTCGTCGGTGCAAAATTTGCACTTTCAGTAACACGAAAATACCACTTGTATCTATATGTCTACCTTTTCTATGACATAATCTCGTGCATATCCAGAGACCCATTTGGTTTTTTGAATAATTGCAGTGGCAAAGTTGACATTTTTGATGTTTGAATGCAGTGAGAGAGAGAGAGAGAGTTGCTGAGAATTTTTAGATTAAAATGGCTGCAAGGAAGCCTGGTTTAATTGCTCTCTTTGATGTCGATGGAACTCTTACAGCACCTCGCAAGGTATGATCTTTTTTCCTTTTTAAAGTAAATTTACTTAGTGATCTTTATCCAACCCAGCAATGCTACTGAGTTTCTTGCGCATCTGCCTGTATAATTGGTTGCTTGTATTTGTTGGTTATAGTTTGATCATTTTCTACTAATATAGATCTAATACCTGCCCCTCTTGAGTCTTGACTTGAACCTATAACCTATGGTTGGTGGTGGAAATGCTGAACCACTAGAGAAAAAGCCTCACTCTTGAAACTCTTTTCAACACTTCATTTCTTGCTTGCCTCCTAATTATTTTTTTAAAATCTAGTCACTTGTTCAGAAGGGAGCCTTGGCGTAACTGTTAAAGTTGCTGCCATGTGACCAGGAGGTCACGGGTTCGAGACGTGGAAACAGCCTCATGCAGAAATGCAGGGTAAGGTTGCGTATGATAGACCCTTGTGGTCCGGCCCTTCCCCGGACCCGCGCATAGCGGGATCTTAGTGCACCGGGCTGCCCTCTAGTCACTTGTTCTCATTCTTCCTCTCTTTTGTTCCACTCTTTTTCATAAATTTACTTGTAATGACTTTTACTCATCTTTGTACTGCTTACTGACTCTTCTTCGGAATTCTTACCTCAAAATTTCAGGAAGTTACTCCAGAAATGTTGAAATTTATGAAGGAACTTAGAAAGGTGGATGATCCTTTTCTAAACTCCTTTCTCCTCCCTTTTTTCTCTCTTTAATTTCTTTTTCCTTCCTACTTAACTGTTTGTCTTCCTGCAGGTGGTTACTGTCGGAGTTGTTGGGGGTTCTGACCTGGTTAAGATATCAGAACAGCTTGGCAAGACAGGTCAGCTTAACTAGCTTTTATATGTATTAAACGTGGAGTCGTTATGATCAAAAGTTTAGGACATGAAAATTTGTGCGAAGGGTTGTGATCGAGGTGCCAAATGAGCTTATTGTAGCTCATGTTTGTAGCTCAGTATCTAAGATTCATCTTAGTATTAGAGCAAGAGCAGAACTATGGTTTCATTCGCCAAAGAGCACTTAACTGAGTCTTGATTTAAAAAAGGTCTTATACGAAAAGTTTTCAGTAAAATTCAGTTTAGTGCTCTTTTTCGAAGTAAAGACCTTTCAATTAGCGTGTGTAAGTAGTCTTATGGTAATAGCTCCATGTATGCCGATAAACTCTATGTTTTCCCAGTGTTCCTTTTCGAAATCAAGACCTTTCTACTGGCGTGTATAAGTAGTCCTATGTTTATAGCTCCCTGAATGCCGATGAAATGTATGTTTTGGTAATTTTAATGCTAAATGTTCCCTGAGGTCAGGCGTATCCATATGGAGCAGATATGATTATCGCGAGAACTATCGCCAGAAAGGAAGAAGAAAGAAACTTCCAATGACAAGAAAGAACACAAAATAGTTTTTACGTGATCACTCTCATTGTTTTACTTTATCTATCCTTATCTTGAAGTAATAAATTATAAACATTGATGTCCGGTGAACCAAAAGAAAGTCTATGGTCATCAATAATGTCGATCAATGATCATCAATGTGGAAAAAACAAAAACATAAAAAAGAAGTCTATCAATGATCTCCTATGATTCTATTGCGATTCTGTCCATTTATGTGGTCCCAACAGCCAAAAGAAGACAAATCTTTTAGCCACTTAATTCACGTGGGCCACAGTTCTTCCAGTCACACAAAACTGAACTTTACTCCTGAAGCTTGGTTGTTGGTCGTAATGGGAGTGTCATAAATTGTAAAGACCCCTGCCTTTGTGCTCTTTTTCTTCCCCCTTGGCAAATGTTTTTTTTGTTTAACTCCCTCTAGCCCAAAAACGTTACTGGCATTGCTTTTTTACTCGTTCCAATTTGCATAGATAAAAGTCTTTTCTTGTATTCACGCTGAATATTATACAAATTTGAAAAGTAATATGAAGCCCGCTTAGCCTCAGAGAAATCTCAAACCTAGCAAGGCATAACAGTAACCTCGACTTTTGGAGAATTTCTCTGTAAAATGCTTTTACTACTTATCTCAACTTTACTGTTATGCTACTTGTTCAAGCAATCTCTGACAATTGAAATGTCGAAGGAGGGAGTATATTTTTCCTTCAAATGTTTTATAGAATCATCTGTAATAGAGCTTGTCTGACTGATTTAGCTGGAGGTTAGAAACTTCTCAATATGTGGCTATTAACCAATCTTCTAATATTTGTGATGCAGTTACAACGGATTATGATTATTGTTTCTCTGAAAATGGCCTTGTAGCACATAAGGATGGCAAGCTTATTGGCACACAGGTACTGGAAAGATTTGACAACTTTTCTCTGTAATTTTACTCGTGAGGTGCAAGTTTGTTTTGTCACGAAACGAGATATTTAGATGCTGTCTTTATCCTCAAACTTAAACCAACATCTTTGTTGCCAAACATAAGCACCTTGTACCAAGATAGAGCTTTTTAAGATATGCAATAAATGCACATTTTCTATTGTCTAAACATGCTATAGTTAGGTCCTAAGCTCGTAATTCAAATTTAGTGATGATTTACATGGAAATGGAACTTCTCTTACTCACAACCATTTGACTAGAAAATAGTCTCATGATATATGGAACAACTTGGAGAGTTTTTTCTCTGTTTTCAACTTTAAAGTGCATCTCTTCTTTCGTTCTCCTTAGTTGCTAATTAGCAGGGTGATTTCTTTTGAAATGACATGATTCCCTGTATGCAGAGCTTGAAGTCATTTCTTGGAGACGAGAAGCTCAAGGTTAGTCACTGCACTTTTCCTATAATGAGGAAATGCTTTACTTTTTAAGAAGCCCAACGAGGGGAATATACCCAACCAAGTGCAGTTCGAGAAAGGCTTTGCGATCCTTTTGATTATTTGTTGATAAGATAACTTAAGAAAAAGGATCTCGTTGAATCAATAAATTAGTTTGAATGTATACCTCCTACGAATAAGATAAAGCTTCTATGAGTCAATATATGATAGTTAATGGAAGTTTGATAACTAAATTATTGTACAGATTCAAGGTTAATTATTTTATTTCAGTAATTACTTCAAGACCTATTATACTAGAGTGGCATTTTTCGAATGTGTTTCTCCGTACGTGCGTCTGTTTTAACAATTCTTGTGTGAAATTGGCTTGGTATTATTTATTTAAATTTTCTGGTAACAAAACAAAAGGTTTTCTATGACACGAGGAATTGTAACCTTAACAAAGAAATTTGTCCATTAAAAGCCAAGAAAAGAATCGGTTCAAAATATTTTTTGCTTCCCTTCTTCAATAATTGGCAAAAACTTATGATAGAACACATCCAAGAAAGGGTAACAGGTGCTTGTAAATTTCAATATTTCGCTGATAGTCCTTTTTCCCCATAATTAGAAATGTTCAATGAAGAGTTATTTGTGTATGTTTGTTGCATACAGTTGGGTGAGGATTCATGTAATCATGTTCATAGCTTAGGCTCACTCAACTGAATTAGAAATGAGCTTATATGTGGACGGCGAAGACATATCTTGATTGGATGCAAATGATGTGCAGGAATTTATTAACTTTACCCTCCATTACATTGCTGACTTGGACATTCCAATAAAGAGGTGAGCATATGAAAGGTCATAAAAAATGAAAGGTTGAATTGTGTGCTTCTTTGTGGCAAACTTCTTAATTATTCTCCTTTGCAGAGGAACATTCATTGAGTTCAGAAGTGGCATGCTAAATGTCTCACCTATAGGGAGGAATTGTAGTCAGGAAGAAAGGGATGAATTTGAGAAGTATGACAAGGTAGACACAACTGCTCTAATACCACATATATGTGTCGGAGTAACGTACCACTGGCAGATTCTTTCCCTATAAATTAAAGACTTAATGATCTATATTCAGGTACACAAGATACGTCAAACAATGGTATCTGTGCTCAGAGAAAAGTTTGCACACCTTAACCTCACCTTCTCCATTGGAGGCCAAATTAGTTTTGATGTGAGCAACTTTAAGCCTGTGCTTGTGCTCATTGATCCTATAATGTTAAAAGTGTATTCTTTACAGATGATTTTGTAATCTTGCTCATGACAGGTTTTTCCTCAAGGATGGGACAAGACTTATTGTTTGAGATACCTTGAAGAATTTAATGAAATTCACTTTTTTGGTGACAAGACATACAAGGTCAGTCTTTAGTTACTGATGTGCGTGAAGCTTTCTCTTCATGGTTGAGCTGAAGTAAGAATCCTGCTTTTTACTCTAACAGGGAGGAAATGACCATGAGATCTACGAGTCCGAGAGAACTGCGGGCCACACAGGTTTGCATAAAACCTCATTCTTCTGATGTTTGAATAATTATTCGCCTGCATAATTACCCGAAGAATCATATCACCAGTTATTTGTTTGTTTCTTTCACTTTTTTCCAGTTACTAGCCCAGAGGACACAGTAAAGCAGTGTTCTGATCTATTCCTCGGCAAGGATAATGGAAGTTCTTGAGCTTGCTGCAGTTTTCAAATACACGATTGTATGCTTGTAACCTATGCACGACAGAAATGAATAATTCCAATAATTCTTGTATTACTTTTACCATAAAAATTATAATATGAATGTAGTACTTTTTGTTTACATTCAATTCAAAAATATGTTCGATGACTTTCTTTTGGAGGCAAGATACCACAATATTTTTTTCGTTGAGGAATGTGGTTGATCTCAGCGATCTCTATTGACAGACAAGTAATTCCATCGGTCCTAGGTTTTATCTTCATCCTTGTGGTGCATTCAATTGAAGAACCATTGTTGCTCCCAAATGCACATGCAAGTATTTTTGGTCGTACAAGTAGGGGAAAAAGAAGCTGTCACAAGCTATTAGTCTATCACAGTGATAATGCACCCATTCCACTATAGGTCTTGGATTCTGATTTAGAACAACCTTTCTGTTCTGAGACCTTCATAGAGAACCATTAGGGGGTTATGATCTACTCGATTCTAAGAACCGAAGCTAGGTGCCTCCTCTATAACTTAGTATTATCTCTATCCACCAACTGTCTGGGCAGAATCTGATATTCTGATTCAAGTGTACCTGTAAGCTGTAACATAATATTCTATGAAGTTTGCATCTTCCTTCACAGATATTTATGTCAAGGTGAAAGACAGGCTTATGTTCCCTTCCTCCACACTTAGTGATAGGGGCGTATACAAGAATTTTTATAAGTGGTGTCGAAATTTATACAAGAAATAGCCTTAGTGTTGAATGCCAAAACTCCCACATCGGTGGAAGACCAAATTGGTAGGGATTTTTTCCCTATAGAAGGAGGTCTAATGTTTAGGATTTTAACACACCTCTCATTTGCCTTCTTATCTTCTCAAGGCATTTATATCTTCTCTCTTTAGTATTATTTCACTTGTATTTTTGGAGTGAAATAAAATATTGGTTGTGTCCGAGGAGTAGGCAAAATTGGCCGAACCTCGTAAATTTTGGTGTTCCTTTTATTGTTGTTTTATTGTCTTATTTATTATTTGATGGCTGTCATAATTTTTGGTATAATAGTTGTGACTTATTCACACTATATACATTTGGCTTCCGCAACAATTGGTATCAGAGCCAAGGTACTGTCTAAGTATGCTCTGTGGTTGCAGCATAGTCTGATCTTCCACATCAGAAAAGATTTATCTTGGTAACTGAGTCAAGGTTCTATCTGAATATGCTCTGTGGTTGCAGCTTAGTCTGATCTTCCACACCAGAAAGGAAATAATCTTGATTTGTGTCGTCAGCTGTTAAATAATATTTGTGTCAAAGATGGAAGACAATAAACATGAAGAATCTACATCAAGTGTCAACAATACGTCATCATTGGCATCTTCGCTTATGACAAGAATTGTGTCAAATGCGAAATTTGCGGTAGAAATATTTGACGGGTCCGGACATTTTGGGATGTGGCAAGGCGAGGTTCTAGATGTCCTTTTTCAACAAGGGCTAGATCTGGCCATTGAAGAAAAGAAACCAGATGTTATTGGAGAAGAAGATTGGAGAATTATCAACCGTGTTGCTTGCGGTACCATTCGATCCTACCTTGCTAGAGAGCAGAAATATCCATACACAAAGGAAACTTCTGCAAGTAAATTATGGAAAGCACTGGAGGATAAATTTTTGAAGAAAAACAGTCAAAATAAATTGTACATGAAGAAGAGACTGTTTCACTTCACCTATGTTCCTGGTACCACGATGAATGAACATATCACCAGTTTCAATAAGTTGGTCACAGATTTGCAAAATATGGATACAACTTATGATGATGGTGACTTGGCCTTGATGTTGTTGGCGTCACTTCCTGATGAGTACGAGCACCTTGAAACTACTCTACTCCATGGAAATGACGAAGTTTCTCTCAGAGAAGTTTGTTCGGCTTTGTACAGCTATGAACAAAGAAAGCGAGAAAAACAGAAGGGCGGAGAAGGAGAAGCACTATTTGTGAGGGGTCGTCCTCAAAATCAAACGAGGACAAAGAAGGGAAGATCCAAGTCAAGATCCAGACCCAGCAAAGATGAATGTGCCTTTTGTCGAGAAAAAGGGCACTGGAAGAAAGACTGTCCGAAGTTGAAGAATAAGGCCAAACATAACAATGGAAAGGCCATTATGGATTCAAATGTAGCTGATTGTGATGATTCAGACTTCTCATTAGTTACAACAGAGTCATCAACATCATCAGACATATGGTTGATGGACTCGGCTTGTAGCTATCATATGTGTCCCAACAGGGACTGGTTCGTGGAATTTCAAGAAGGAGAATATGGAGTCATCCACACAGCGGATAACAGCCCTCTTACCTCATATGGCATTGGTTCAATACGATTAAGGAACCATTATGGAATGATCAGAACATTAACAGATGTTCGATATGTACCAAATTTGAAGAAGAATCTCATCTTTGTAGGAGCCCTCGAATCAAAAGGGTTCAAAATCATTGCAGAAAATGGAGTGATGAGAGTATGTTCCGGTGCACTAGTGGTAATGAAGGCTAATTGGAAGAATAATAATATGTACCGCTATCATGGCAGTACAATTATTGGGATAGCGACAGTGACATCCAGTGACGACAAAGAGGCAGAAGCAACCAAGCTATGGTACATGCGCTTGGGACATGCTGGAGGAAAATCCTTGAAAACTCTATCAGATCAAGGATTGTTAAAAGGAGTAAAGGCTTGCAACTTGGAGTTTTGTGAGCATTGTGTCAAAGGGAAACAGACAAGGGTTAAATTTGGTACAGCGATCCATAATACTAAAGGCATTTTGGATTATGTACACTCTGATGTTTGGGGTCCTTCCAAAACACCTTCATTGGGTGGGAAGCACTATTTTGTAACCTTTGTTGATGATTTTTCTCGAAGAGTGTGGGTGTATACAATGAAAAACAAAGATGAAGTGCTGGGAATTTTTCTCAAATGGAAGACGATGGTGGAGAATCAAACAGGCAGGAGGATCAAGTGTATTCGCACAGACAATGGAGGTGAATACAAAAATGATCATTTCAATAAGGTCTGTGAAAATGATGGCATCGTCCGACACTTCACTGTTAGACATACACCACAACAGAATGGAGTGGCAGAACGTATGAACCGGACCTTGCTGGAGAAGGTACGGTGTATGTTGTCCAATGCTGGCTTGGGCAAAGAATTTTGGGCTGAGGCAGTTACATATGCATGCCACCTCATTAATCGCATACCATCTGCTGCTGTTGATGGCAAGACACCATTTGAAAAATGGTATGGAAAAACTGCTGTAGATTATGACTCTTTGCACGTGTTTGGCTCAACTGCATATTATCATGTGACAGAGTCAAAATTGGATCCAAGGGCAAAGAAGGCTATTTTTATGGGAATTACTTCTGGAGTCAAAGGATATCGCTTATGGTGTCCTATGACAAAGAAAGTAATATTCAGCAGGGATGTTACCTTTGATGAATATGCTATGGTAAATAAGGTAACAGAAGATACCAAGCAAAAATGAAGGTGCTTCTAAGCAGGTGGAGTTTGAGGGACAATTTATTTTTCCTACACAAGAAGCAGAGGAGGAAACAAATGAAGATTACCCTCTGGAAGGAGAG